ATTTTTTGCAATATGTTCTCGTGGAAGTATCACAGGCCTTGCTTGCCGCATCCCTTAGAATCTGCAGTGTACCTCTGTCTAATATCCATTCCCTCTACAGGTTTCTCTTTTCTTTAAAGGAAATATGTTATTCAAAGAGTCAAAGGGTAACCGGTTCTCCGAGTTACCCATTTCAAACTATGATTAGAAATCCCTATTAGTCACGCTGTGGAAAGAGCAACGTGGAAAGAATCATATCAATGGGAGAAGGGTCAGAAAAACGTATTGTTACGCCGGCCACCTCTCTACCTGACACCAACACGAGGCAGGCTAGGCAAACGACGTGTTATTCACAGGGTCGTGAACACTGAACAGCTCCAAGAGGCACCGAGTACCACACCGTCCCAAAACACCACGAGGGAAAACGCCACGGGCGAGGCAGGGCACGAAAGAAAAACTCACAATCACTGTCTCTCCTTTATTTACACAGTTATTTACCCGTACACTTTTCTATAGGCACAATACAGGAGTCAAACCAGCACATCACACTGCACAATACAGCATATAACAGGGCAACACAAAGTATATCAGGCTGGAGAAGGGCACACGCGAGGTCATCACAGCAGCGGCACCAAAACTCGACTCTCCCGTCTGCCCCCTTCCTCCGCCGCCGCGTCATCTTCCTGTCAAAACACGCCAACACGCGTTCGCACGCGCTCGCACACGTTTGCACAGAGACAAAGACCCTCTGGCGTAGCACTATCCCCCCCTTTCAAGCAGACGACCCGTCTGCTCTGATATATCTAATCAAGAAACAAACAACAGAAAATTTAAATGAAATTAGTCCTCATGAACAAACAAAATTCTTTCAAACCAGAAGGGCATCTCCAAGTGTTAACAACTATATTTTTAAAAGTTTTGTTGTTTGTGTCAGGATGTTTATCATAATTTTCTAATTATAGTTTTCTGTACAGCTGTACAAGAAATGATATGATTATTATGGTTATTGCATTTTGAATGGCTTCGCCCAATGACACATATAACATAACTGCCCTAAAACATCTAAAACAACTATATTTGTATGTTACCTGATTGCCTTCCACATTCCGACCCTACTACATTATTATTTTTTGAAGTTATTGTTTTTATATTATCCACATGGTAGTGATGCTGATCATAATAAATGTTATACGATAATATACTAATAATGATAACAATGACATTGTTATAATAATACCATATATCATTAGTATCATTTACGTGGTATCCAAAAGAAATGGTAATATTTTAGCATTTTTGGATATTTATTTGAAAGGCCACTTGCTGCCTATCAAAATGTACACAAATTCGAATATATTGCTCTGGCTGTGGCTGCATTTTGACAAATCTAAATAACACATGCAGTATATTTATCATTCTCGTAAATTCCTGTTTCTTGCGAGTTTAATGATGAATATAAATCACGTAAAAAAAAAAATCAAACAATTATAAATCACCGATTCATTAGTGCTGCCTTTCATAAATTGTATTGTGATTTATTGATTCTTTTGAGCCTAAAAATAAACAATATACCTTTCTGTATTATTTTATGCCATTTTCACATGCGATTCATTATATTTTAGATTTAACTTAAATGGCCAGATGAAGAGTTATTTGATAAAACATAAGAAGTATTTGGCATTTTACCTATAGGGCGATGGGTCGCGCATGCATATGACGAGTTGAATGGACAGGTTGACATGCCTGTGTGGACGGAGCTTAATCGTGAAATCGCTTGAAATTCGTCAGCAAAAAAAAAAAAAAAAAAAAAAAAAAAAAAAAAAAAAAATCTAGGATCTTGAAATCGCTTGAAATTCGTCAGAAAAAAAATAAAAGATCTGCAAGAAATTGCATATAAGGATGATACAGATAAAGCCGATAGTATTTTTTATGATATCTTTACTACAGAAAATAGGCGGTTTAATAAATTATCAGGGAAATATTTCTAAAAATGCAGACAACAACAAAATTATCTGTACTGTGCGCATATCTAAAATCATATGCCAAGGATAGTGACATATTTACAACCGTTTTTCATATTCAACCAGAAAAATGTTGCACTGAAGTAATGTTAAATGTTTATCTTAAATTCCTATTTTGTTACGCGAATACTTTTTGCTTATTCCTGACCTTTAGTCCTTAACGTGGTTTCCCAGAGGAAAAAGCATTCCTTTTTCAATTTGTCTCCACTTTTTTCATTCTTTATTTTCTTTTTATTTATTCCCTTTGTCATCGTTGTCTTTACCCCACAAATATAGTTCATTTATTCGTTAGCCTTTAACGATTAATTTCCTTCACTCTCACTCGGAATATTTATTTTTTGCAATATGTTCTCGTGGAAGTATCACAGGTCTTGCTTGCTGCATCCCTTAGAATCTGCAGTGTACTTCTGTCTAATATCCATTCCCTCTACAGGTTTCTCTTTTCTTTAAAGGAAATATGTTATTCAAAGAGTCAAAGGGTAACCGGTTCTCCGAGTTACCCATTTCAAACTATGATTAGAAATCCCTATTAGTCACGCTGTGGAAAGAGCAACGTGGCCAGAGTCATAGAAATGGGAGAAGGGTCAGAAAAACGTATTTTCTTTCAATATTGATACTCGGACCTGCATTGTGGAAGGTTTTGTGCTGCAAGAACATATACTGATGTAATCACAGAAATTTCGTGTGTATTACTATCCCCCTTGAATCTCCCTTCGTTTTGGAAAAGGGAGCTTATGACCCCTCCCCCTCATATACACACTACTATGTACATTAAAGACTTTTAATTGTGCATTCTATACAACTTCCAAACAAGCGGGTCTTCTTAAATTAAAAACTTACAGAAGCTTAGTTCTCCGGGTATCTTTGGTGTCGGCAAGACATTGACACAGATAATGAAAGACTACTGAAATCCAAGTAGACTCAAACTCTCACTGGTGGTAAGTGATGTTAATATTTATTAATCGGGTAAAGCTATATTCAGTTATCTTATGACATAAATATAATAATTATGCCTATAGATATGTTGCTACAAGAAGTATACGAGATATATTTATGGTATGTTTATCAGTTTACTAGTATTTTGATTTTGTTGGTATAATATTTGAAATATTCCTATTTAACTTTGATTCTAAAAAAAAAAACTAACATAAAGAAGTGTCCCCTATAGTTTATGTTTTCTATGAACATAATAAAGCATTCGTTTTCTGATAACACCATAATTTACGGGTAGACTACTATATTATACCTTATATTGGGATTATTTTTTTAATCGCGAACATTACACAATAATAAGTACATAAGTATTCAAAAGAATAATTTATTAAAAATACGGACTGATATCCATTATTAAGATAAACAAAATCAATCTCTCGCTCAACTACATCAATTAATTACTAGTACAAACCCAATTATTCTCTACTTTATAATTTACTTTAATTGTGCCATATTAAAATATTCCAATTCTAACTGTTCTGTACGGTAGCAACGATAATTCTAACGCGTCGTGCATGTCCATAACCGACTTGATAAAATAAAAAATCATGTGTTCACCTCCTCGTTCACGCCGCGCCAGCATCTTAGGTCACCATGTGTAGGCAGCTATGCAGAAAGAGAATGTTTAGTGTTTATTGCTTTAAATAAGCGTTAGATATCGAAGGTCTTACATCACCGTGATAAAGTATTGTGGTGAGAAGGGTTTGATATGGAGTAAAATATGTGATAAATGATCGGGGTGGTAAAAGTTTATCGGTTAATTACTTTACTAAGATTGTAAAATGATGATGATACTAAATGAATAGATATACTGTAGAATTATTTGGCACGCACACGCACGCACGCACACGCACGCACACGCACGCACGCACGCACACACGCACATGTATGTGTGTGTATGTATGTGTACATATATTATATATATATATATATATGTGTGTGTGTGTGTGTGTGTGTGTGTGTGTGTGTGTGTGTGTGTGTGTGTGTGTGTGCGTGTAGTGTGTGCGTGTGTGTGTGCGTGTGTGTGTGCGTGTGTGTGTGTGTGTGTGTGTGTGCGTGTGTGTGTGCGTGTGTGTGTGTGTGTGTGTGTGTGTGTGTGTGTGTGTGTGTGTGTGTGTGTGTGTGTGTGTGTGTGTGTGTGTGTGTGTGTGTGTGTGTGTGTGTGTATATATATTATTTATATATTATATACATATATATATATATATACAGTCTCTCTGTATTTTCCTTTGTGAGGTAGTGTATTCAGTTAAACGCTTTGTTTGCAGAGAACTACATTATTTTACTCTATTTCCCACTCCCAATGTAATCCTTCTAATCTGCATTTTTATTGCTCTCTCAAACAGAAACTGCAATGCAATATTGCATATGAATCATGAAGGCCAAAGGTATCAGGTAAAAAGCAAATCTTACACTTGTTCTGTTGAGTAGTTATGGAACTGAAACAACAAAACAGACAAACAGGAAGATATTATTTGCTTAACAGGAACATTAGCACCTCCTTCTATATCATGATGAGAACTTCTTTGTTGTCCAACTCATGACATCATATTGATTTTACCAGACAAAATGACGATTGGGAGGTGTTGGGAGTTACACCACTTAGTTTGCTTATAAAGAAAAATAACTACCATGATCTTTCTTTCTTTATCTTTTTAATCCACATTTCAACAGTAGTATGATTATACTTCATGTACCATGGAAAACAATGCACAATCACTGTACAGTCTTCACATCAAAGTAATTGTAATTTTCAGAAACATGACAAAGTTTGCGAATGAATCTCGGCTGGAATTCCAACTGCCCAAAATACTACCTGACAAGAACATTTTAAGCATCTCATCATCAGTGGAGAGGCAAAGAAGAGAAGACTAAGGCACTACCTCACCACAGTCTGCAATTTTTTTTATTTTAATCTATCCCCTTTCATGAATATTTCTGGGAGAGTTCTACCTTTATTTGATTACTTCCAAAATAACGAGGATATCTTTTAACAAAAACAACTGATAGCAGTGAAACAAATTTCTATTCATAAGAAAACTAAATACACTGTTAAATCCATCTTCTATTCACACAATGAAATATATATCAAAATCAAACTTCTATTCACTTTAAAGCTAAGTTAAATTCTTGTATATTTTAATTTTGCTTACACACTTCAACTTTTAACCTGTAACAATAACTGGAATAGCTGGAGCAAGTAATTGGACATATAATACTGCATTATAGTGACAAATACAATAATCCAAAAAAATACTAAAATATATCTAAGAAAACAATAAATCTTAAATGTATTTTCAATATACAACACATTTCTAATTTTTCATTACATTTCTTTTAAGCTTAGTTCATAAAAAAATAAAACATTTCAGAATTACAAAATCTTACTGAATGAAATATATCAGTAAATTATAGTAATCTAAACACTATACAAAAAACACTTAGCGTACATAACAGAAATATATCTTTCACTATACACCATAGCAGCAAAACTTCTTTTATTAGAGTAAATTCACAGAATAATGCCTCCCATGCAGTAATTTCTGTCTACATTCTTCACTGATGTTAGCCTTAACATATAGTGTATCATTATATGACCTGAGAAATTTGCACATACACAAAAATATATATATATATTTACTATACATATGACAAATCAATTTACTATTTTTTCTATAATAATTTTTTATACAATGAAGTACACAAAACAAGTTCTATCAATTTATATTGAATATAAATAATATACCATATGCGTAATTCCTAAACATATTATAATTAAATCTTTAAAAAGCATATCTAATCAGTCATATAGAAGTCCCAAGAAATCTGAGGAAGGAATGTTATACTAAAGATAATCAACTGTGTAAAAGCAAATTAGTGCTGTTCTCTCATTACAATCACGCCTGATGATTTACCACGAAGAATCCGACAGAGGCTCACTTGCACTAAAGTCCTCGGCTGATCCACTTGAGGTAACACATTCACCATTAAATATTTGGAAGTTATTCTCTTGGACTTCCAATGGCTGTGACGGGGCTACTTCCACTGCTTCCTCGCACAATGACTCCCCTAAATTTTCTGACCCTGAACTTAGGGTTTCATAATTACAGCTGATTTTCCTCCTCCTGTGAACCTGACCATTCATCTCTCCATTGATCTTTTCTTCCTCGTCTTCACTCCCAGAGAACTCCTCTTCATCGGACAGGTCTTCTTCCTCTTCCAAAGACTCTTCACTGAGCATATCTGAAGAAAAGAACAGGAGCGAGTCTGCATAGTCTGATGAAACCTCTGAGGTATCAAAGGACTCGTCCTCTTCTTCATCATCATCAAACATTGAATTATCAGAGTCAGAACATGCCTGATCACAGTCAACACTCTGCAAACCCATGATTAGTTTGCACATCTGGTACTTGGCAGCTTCAATCTCAAAGAAGATTTTGAAAGACTGAGGGAGACTCAGTAAGTCTACCAACTCAGCTATATAGGATTCAATCAAAGCACCTTTACAGTCTTTGATACAAAGATCATGTGGAATTAGCTCAGGCCACTTTTTCTGTGGGAGATGGGAGACCATGAAAACATGATCAAAAATGGACCTTACACACAACTGTCGTAGACCAGCTGTGACCTGTCCAAACATTAGAGTTAACAAGTCCATCATCTGAATTCTACCATCTCTTAGGTGCTTAAAATTACTCATAGTAAGTAAGGAACATAGCTCAGTAGCAACATGTTGGTTACATAGACAACCAAGATCAACTAAAGGAGAAATGGAAGACACTACTATCTTATCAGTCAAGTGTTTGTGAGGACGAATTACCTTTGTCCCAGAATCATGTGTTGGGACATGGATATATCTTAGCCTAGTAGGAGCATCTGCCAGAAGGGGAGCTAACAGTGGTGTCATCAGATTAGGGACTAGGCGCATTGGAGACCCAGCACAAAGGTCACACTCAGCTGGGTAAGATATGGCAACCTGAGTCAAAAAAACATTACTTTCTATTTGAGCACCATTCTCACACAACTTAGAGGCAACATCTACAGCTCCAACAAAGACTGCTCTGAAGAGAGCAGTCTCCCCACAGCAGTTGTGTGTATTTACATCTATATATTCTACTGTATCACACATGGCTTCATACAGGGTAAGGGAATTTTGAGGGTCATTTCTCAAAATAGCATCCATTAATGGTGAATTCCCATGTACATCACAGAGGTTGAGGTTGACCCTACAGGTATCAAGGAAACGTTTGGAAAGCTCAATGTCCTCATGTTCTGTTACCCAATGAAAGAGAGTTTTATGAGCAAATGTTGTAATTACATTGGGATCACTACCACAGGATAGAAAGATGTCAATCAACTCACTTGTCTGCTCAATTAACTTATGACAGTCCTCTACAGTTGGCATGCATTTTGCACCAGAAAAATCAACTGTGTTTGTTATGAATTCCAACTTAATCTCCTCCAGTTCAAAATACATATCCAGTTCTTCACAAAGGATGTCAGAATTCCCTTCAATGTAAGTTTTTAATACTTCATAATAAACAACTAGTTCCTCAAAGGGGCTTGGAGAGGCTCTGTCCATGTCTCCATAGGGTATACGTAAGTTTGCATTGGCTCCTTTCTCCACGAGTAGCTTGGCTATTCTCAAGTTGCGACTCTGGTCAGTGTGATGGTTATTGGTTAGGACCATGTGGAGAGGAATCTTCTCGTAAGGGCCATCGTTTAGATGTGTGGGATCCGCTGTCGCCAGGATGATTTCTTCCGCTGTGGTGAAGTTCCCATTCTCTATAGCAATGGTCAGTGGTGTTTCGTTTATTCCAAACTGCCCCTGGAAATGGTTTCGTCTCCAAGCCATGCTGGAATATATCTGGAAAGCAATAAAAATTTTAAGAAAACACAGTCAATTGATGTAATAAAGAATTACACAGATGAATAATCCACGATTAGTTTGGCTTAACCCATTGCCGCCGGGGAATATGAAT